ATTTTTTATTTATTCATTGTCATTTTAACAAAAGTTTATTAAGTGTTTATTAAATAAACATCAAAGACTTAGCCTCCAGAGCTTCCAATATGTTGTTGGTAGAGTACACAAAGTGGTGAAGAGTGTACACGGGAATACAGTGTGACAAGTAGGGAGGGGCTATACATGGGAATACAGTGTGACAAGGACGGAAGTGTTGTACATGGGAATACAGTGTGACAAGGAGGGAAGGGCTGTACACAGGAATACAGTGTGACAGGTAGGGAAAGGCTGTACAATGGAATACAGTATGATAAGGAGGGAAATGTTGTACGCAGGAATACAGTGTGACAGGTAGGGAAGGGCTGTACACAGGAGTACAGTGTGACAAGTAGGGAAGTGTTGTACACGGGAATACAGTGTGACAAGTAGGGAAGAACTATACACAGGAATGCAGTGTGACAAGGAGAGGAGGGCTGTACACAGACATACAGTGTTGGCAAGGAGAGAAGGACTATACACGGGAATACAGTTTGACAAGGACAGAAGGGCTGTGTACAGGAATACAGTGTGACATATAGGGAAGTTTTGTACACAGGAATACAGTGTGACAAGAAGGGAAGTTTTGTACACAGGAATACAGTGTGACAAGTAGGGAAGGGCTGTACATGGGAATACAGTGTGACAAGAAGGAAAAGGTTGTACACAGGAATAAAGTGTGACAAGTAGAGAAGACTGGACACAGGAATACAGTGTGACAAGTAGGGAAGGACTGTACACAGGAATACAGTGTGACAAGGAGGGAAGGACTATACACAGGAATACAGTGTACAATTATGGAAGATTGTACACAGAAATACAGTGTGACAGGTAGGGAAGAACTGTACACAGGAATACAGTGTGACAAGAAAGTAAGGACTGTGCACTGGAATACAGTGTTACAAGGAGGGAAGGAATGTACACCAGAATACAATGTGACAAGTAGGGAAAGACTGTATACAGGAATACAGTATGACAAGGAAGGAAGGACTGTGCACTAGAACACAGTGTGACAAGGAGGGAAGGGATTTACACAGGAATAGTGTGACAGGTAGGGAAGGACTATACTTTGGAGGTAGAAAAAGAATCAAAGCAAATACAAGATCACACAGTTTATATAGAAAGAGGCTGGCTAAAGGAAAAAAATAATTTTTAAATTCATATTTTCCCTTTAAAGCCAGTAGAGAATAAAGAAATGAAGTTAAATGTACCCAGTGATAAGAGGGGAAACTCTGAAAAGTCTAAAGTTTAACTACAGACTGGGAAACACAGGTCACAAGATAAGAACACCAATAACATAGCTATCATCTTTGTAGCAGAGAAAAGAAATTTCCCAAGTGTCCCAAAACAAACACCAGATATGCTGTACTCTTGGACACATGGAAGACTCATTGACTCAGAGCCCCGGAAGGAGGAGCCTGTCAGAAATATACAGCTGTTTTTCTTGTTTTTCAAATGCTCAAGTAACTAAGTAACTTGTGAAAGGTTATGAATCATTTAATGTTTGCTGAGACCTTATGTTTAGGCGCTATGCTAGGCAATATAATAACTAATTTGTGTGATATTTTCTCCCTTATATTTAAACTTATTTGCTATACCAAAGGTTCCATTCTAGCATCTACAGTTAGCAGCCAAGTCCTCTTGGGGTCACAGTGGAGGTGGAATAGTTTCTGGTTTTCTTTTTCCAGATCACACAGCAGTTTTTCATGCTGGTAAGTTAACGGACAAAAATAAAACTTCTTCTGAGATGTTTCCCTATATTTCAGTAGAGATGGTGCTGATCTTCTGGATTTCATGTTTTACATATTCTCCACTTGCTTTTTCATCAGCCTCAGTTGATGTCAAAAGAATGTGATTCTGTGCCCTAACAAGGTGTGTTAGTGTGTGGGTTTTTCCATCTGGCTTTAGAAAGTTTATCGCTAAGATGGCATTCACGGTGGGCTTTTCAAGTGTGAGTGTCACTCGGTGTCACACCCACAGATTTGAACAGATAAGTGCATCATCAGTTCTAGCTTCGCAGGTTCTCTCCTCCGTCCAACAGCTGCTTACTGGGAAACTACCTGACCACTGGTCCCACACAATGGAGTCACATGAATGGGTGACTTGGTTTGTGAAACAAGAACACTGGTTCCTTTTCACACTAGGCGTGGCATGGTCCAGAACTGAAGGACATGCTAAATTTGTCCACTAGCAGACTCGGATTTGATGGAGCATTTAATTTTGTCTCTTCTAATCAGATTTTGGGTTCTGCTATCCATTGCTGCCTACTCTGAATCACACTTTTTCTTTAACTCACACCACATCTTCAATCAAATTGTCTTCTAATCTTTCCATTTTGGGGGAAAAAAAAAACTTCTCTTTAAACTCTGGCTTTCAACAACCGCTCAGGTCTATTGCAGGTGACCCAGCCTTTTACCATAGAGGTCGTAATATGATTTCTCAAGAATTAGTTTCGTTTTATTTTATGTCTGGCACAGGATCTACTGCTAAGTAAAATGATAATAAGGATGATCAAGATATAAGGGCTCCAAAGGGAACTTTACGGCGTGTGTAAATTCAACAGAATGGGGCTGAAGGCTCTTCACACCCCCCTTGCTTGCTTATTTCCTGCGTATACTTTCCTTCACATTCGTAAGCAAGCCTTACCATCTCAAGCGGCTCTACTCTAAGTTGCGTCAGTTGGGGATTCTGAGGTGATTATCAAATTGAAAGCAAGCCTTTCCCCTCGCTGGCTAAGTCCTTCCCTTCTCTGAGGATCTGACAATTACAGTCTACTAGGAACTCGCGGCAGGGATGAGAAGACATTCTTCTTCTCCCGTGACTATAAACAGTGGGGACGCATAGGAGTAGTGAGACTATCTTACCACTGCATACATGCAGTATTTGAATTGTGTGCTCTCCTTGAGAAACTATTTAATAGCCATCGTTTTCTTCGCTTGTGGTAACACCATTCTGTGTCTGAAGGGAACATAATTATTTCTCCCAGTAAAATTCAGCCTTTGAAGAGTTGAACTAAGACTTAAAAATATATTAGTTATTGACCAAATTCGCTATTATTAAGATGTGGAACTTAGGTAACCTGCCCTCAATTCGGTTTCCTCGGCACTAAACAGCTTCCCACGAACATGCTTACCAAGCTTAGCTTTCTTAGAAGAGAGGACAAAGCGTACGCAGCCTTTGTTCGTAGTAACAAAGTGTTCTGAGAGTCCAGCTCTGCATGAATGTTTATGATCTTCCCATTTATGACTCACGTGAGTCACAGCGCGGCTTTCCGTACAGAATGGCACAGAGGCTCGGGCCGGGGCGTTCCGCGCATTTCTCTCAGCCATCTGCTGTTATGGAACTGAAATGCTCATTAACAAACCAGATCAAGGTCCGGAGAGGTGTTTTTATGCTGAATCTCCGGACATCACATTCTCTGGCTCTTGTTTCACTCTTGTAATAATGATTCATTTCTCACATGTATTTAATTTTAGTTTCTTATAAAATGTAAATCGAGCTCTACTTTATAGAATTATGAACTGATGTAACATCCTTAAATAAGCTGAAGACCAGCAAAGGGAAATTTCACTTATATATTTGACTATATACATAAATATATATAAACAACAAAAACAGTCTGGCCGTTCTGTAAAGAAAATTAAAATGAGAAATACATCTATATCCACTACGTGGGTGGTTTAGACTGATCAAATCAAGCTGACAATTTAATGAGAGGAATGGGCACGCATAAGTAGATAGTCCCCTGAATGAGAGCTTTGAGAATGTTTCATGGAACTTGTATTACTAATTGTGGATATTGGAGAGAGGGGTATTTGTTTAAAGCTTTAGGAGGGTCTTGAAAATATTTTCAAACCTCTGATGGTAAAATTAGCATTCTTGAAGTTGAAAGAAAGATTTTTAATTATTGATTATGATATAAATAAAAATTAACAAGCCAGGCTTTTAAGTGATAGCCAGATATTGATTGTGTGTTAAATTCTCCATGATGTTAGCATAGGGCAAGTCACCAGAGTCATATGACTGGGTTAAACAGCTGACCAAATAGTTGCGTTTTATGGTCCTATTTAATCAGTTGGAAGGCTACTGAATTTAATGGGTTTATATCAAATACTTGGCTAAATATTTGACCACAGGAAAGTACTTATGCTTCATAACATAATAGATTAGTATGAATAATTCGACTATTCCAATTACTGAAAATTCATTATGTAATTAAGGAGAACTAATTAATAGCCATGTTTCTGCAGCTCATTTGTGATTGATGTCATGGTTCCTCCTACAGGCACGGAATCTCTGGAAAAGCACCATTTCTAACCTTTCCTACTCTCTGGCCATGTTAAAACGAGTGCTAGTCTAAGTAGGACTTTACTCTGAGCTATTCTGTTAAATGGGATTTGTAGAAGATGCTGACTTAATCAGAATTATTTCAGTGTCTTTACTGTGAGCACCTATGAGGACGTGAGTTCTGTGCCGCCATTATACAGCCACAGTCACATGATCTCAGAAGACACCAAGGGCATGCAGGAACAGAAGGATGTCTAAATCCCTTAATTATCTTTGACATTAAAATATAACAAAAATATTTAGAAGTACAAGGGAACCAAATCTGAAAATAGCCATAATTACCAATGCCATTTACCATGTGCATTGATATTGGATGAAAAAAAGCTACTTTTAATAAAAGAAAGATAGAAAAATAATACAGCCATGTAATTTATTATCACAGAGCCATTAAAAGAAATTCCAGGCTGTGCATGTTGGAGCATACACACAACATGAGCTCTTAGTATGGGAAGGCAAGAGGGTGACAAGTTTGAGGCTAGCCTGGGCTACATAATCCCTTCAAGGTCAGCTTAATGTGTTGTGATATCAAGACCCTGTCTCAAAATCAGGAGAACCTGCCTAGGGGGCTAAAGCTCTTAGGTTTATGCTTAGTTCTGTAAAGCAACCAAATAATCAAAAATATGCCAGATCATATATTATTCTGGTAATATTAATTATGACTATATATGCAACAAATATGTAGCATATGTGGATTAAAATTCTTTGACTTCTAATAGAGAGTAACAAATCTAAAGCTGGATGCAGCTCCTGGCTAACCAAGCGGCCTCATAGCTAAGCCTGGTGACTCACACTCTTGGAAATGAACACAGTGAATAGAACTCAACTTTCATATTTTAAGAAAACTGTCATATTTTTTTTTCAAATCACACATCTGTTCAAACATTCTTGAAAGCAGTTTTGCCAAATTGACAGATTTTCTAGGTTGAGACAGTTCCCAGCCTTTCTGGCTCCTCTGCCCAGGGATTTCAACTCTGTAGTTTAACTGTGGAACATTAAAGAGAAAATGGCTTTTCTACAATCGATAACTCATTTTAAATTTATTTTGAAATCACTTAAGTCTGGGGAAATTACTCCCCCCAAAGAAATGCTTAGATTTGCTCCCTGTTTTCCATTTACATAGCAACTTGAAAATCTGTAAACATCGTTGGTCAGATTGGCAGTTGGAACTTTGGTTTGATAAGAGCACTGGAGATAAGTTGTTCTATCAGCTTGACAGTTGCTGCTCTGGTTTGATAAGAATCCTCGGCTGATTTCCATTAAGTTTGATGATGCATGGAGATGACACAGTACTTTGGCACACAGAGCTTTTCATTTGGATATTCCTGCGTAAAATTCCCGACTTCTCTATTTTAATATGTAAATTAACTCTTTGGTCTTAAATAGTTTTAGGATGATTGGTGCTATGTGAATACAAATCAATGCTAATGTCATATATTTTAACACCTGGGAAATCGCTGAGGTGAACTTGGAAAGTGCATTACATTTCCATTCCATTTTGAAACGCAGAACTTTATATGTAGTATGAAAACCTAAACATTAGGACTATTCTCCTCAGTATTTGAGAAAAGATGGCTAAACTTTGGGAATTTATTAAATGATTATTATATCTCAATTGTTGTGGATAAACTTTAAAATTTTTCAAACATTTAAGCGAGATGTGATTTACTTTTCTTTCCTATCATTTTTTTTTCTAGAAAAGGGAATATGAAAGAAGACCATCTTTATACAATAATTGCTTTACAATAAAAGAATACTTTCACATTCTAAAGTATCTCAGTGACAAAGTGTAAGGACTCACTTTTTATAAACAGGAAGCTGCACAATTTCAAGACAACTTCAGCATTTCTTGGATATGCTGAAGACTCTCTTTGGAGAGTCTTTGCCAATCTCCATTCCTCAATTCTTTATCAAATATAGAATCACCCAGCGTATCACGTCACAAGCAACATATTTGTGTACACTATACTTCATGGGATATATTTGCATATTCGGGTAACGCCGACCCTTTGCTTCCTCTTGCAAACCACTGTTGTAAGCATTGGTGGCAGATCGTTATCACATGTAGCCCCAGACTTTTTAAGCTTGAGAGTGCATGTAATAGAAATGGAAGCAAAAGGGAAAATGAAAAAAAGAAGCAAGGAGATCGCGCGTTGGTAACCAGGAGAAAGAGGGAAGAAGCGCGGTATGTTATTATGGAAAAGGGGAGGACTCAGGCATGGTGGAGACAGCTGCTTGTTTGAATTCCTTCCGAACTTTGCATGAGTAATATAACACTAGCAGCTCGAGACTGCCAGGGCGGAGGTATTTACTCCAGAGAAATCATCAATAACTACAAATGAGCTCTTATCCCCCATTTGTCATTCACCCTATAGCACTGGGAAAGCCTTTACTCAAGTGTGTGTCGGGACGCTGCTGCCCGTTTTCACGGGACAACTGTTTGAGGCAGTAAACAGACGGAAGGCCAAGGCTCTAAGGGGAAGACGTCTTCTACTTCGAAATCTAGATGATAAAAAGGAGCAAAAACACTCTACGTAAAGAATATACAAAAGTCTTAATGCCTGGAATGCCAAAACAGACAACAAGCTTATTCATGAGTGGGCTGTTAAGAGGGTCAGTGTGGAGTGGGGCAGGACAGGACTATCACCAGGTGACATTAACCACCAAACTGCTCTGTGATTCCGATGATCTGGGGCTGAGAGAATTCCGTTGGCTTATCTAAGACAGGTAACATCAAGATGCTTAACTCTGCAAATTCCTAATTTGATCCAACCTTTATCATTGGTGTTCTAGCTAAGAGATCCGCAAGGCGCGCTGCTGCTCTTTCTGGAGAGCAAACGGGGCTTCAAGACTGCATCAGTTCCAGTCTGTGCCGCGGGGATTAACAGGGAGGGAAGGCGGCAAGACAGAAAGGGGACTGTGTACAAAAGTCCTGGCAAGGCAGAGGGAGACAGAGGGAGCAGCTTTGGACTTGGCTCCCACAGGAGCATTCCAGAAACTGGGGCAAAGTTCATCTGACTCAACAAAACCGAGCAAGGGCTGAGGCGATACTTTCGCCAAGTTTCCCCGGAGCAGAGCTGGCTGCGTTCTCAGCTGCCCCTTTGCCCTGCTCTCATGCGAGGCCAGTTTACTAATTAATTCCAGAAAATCCACTAATTGTAGGCCTGAAATGTAGTACAAATTTGGAAAATATTACTTTTATATCTCTTGAAAATATTTGAATCGCTGTTCTAATCAGCTACCTCATAATGACCAACCTAGACCCTTCACAGTGTTTCAAAACCATCATTACCCTCAAACTGAGTTGAGGATGCTGGATAAAGACCATTTAGATACTTTTTTTCCTCAAAATTGACTATAAATAATTCATATCAGCTGTTCTCTAGTTTTATTTGTTTGTTTCTCTTTAATTCTTTAAATACATTTACATTATTGCAGGCATGACTGACCTTGCTTAGTATGTAGTTTTAGCAATGTTTCATTACTAACATATTTCATTGGAACCCAGCATTACTAATAATCTATCTCATCCCCAAATCCACATAAAATAACGTGAAGCTTTGTATGAGTATGACAAATGTACACAACCTCTCTGGGGTGTTTGTGTGAAAGCTGTTAAGAACCAAGAGACATTATCTAACACTGTATTACAATTTCCATTTCTTAATATAGTCCGAGAGTGATTTGATAGTAGAATTTCAGAGGATTACTTGAAAGGGAATTAAAGGCAATAAAATAGGGATTCATTTCCATACCCAAAACGGGCTGATGAAATGTGTCTTGTGAGTTTTCTAAATAGCATCACATTCAAATAATTGTATTTTAATGATTTGCATTGTAAACCAAGTCGGTTTAAGGAATATGTCAAACAACTAGAGAAAGAAGTAAGAGGGTAAGTGAAATGGTACCCCTGACACTTGTTCCTAAAAGGCTATTTAAATACATTTCCTTAAAATAAACTCAAAGAAAAATGTCATTTTTAAGTATTAGAAATAAAATCTGGAGAGCACCTGACTGAGAACCGCAGCCCAGAAGGAAGGAGAGGTTTAGAGTGTGCTGAAGGAGTGCAGGAAGGAAGGTGCTGATGTCAGGAAAGGAGGTCTCTCCAGCTAACGCAAAGTCACTGCACTTGACTGTGGGGACAGCGTCCTCCATGAAGAAACACTGAGCTGGAAGTTTGCTCCGCCCACTTAGCAGACAGGTTTGTACATACCTGAAGTTCAAGTCTTTAAAGGAGAATTGAGTTTCAATGATACCAGTCGTTTTCACCCGGGAATGCAGAACATCTTGCTCATTTGGCACGTACCCGGGGGCTGTGATTCTATCTAAGTCATTAAGGTAGCTAATGGAAACGAAATAAAACAGAATCCATTCATATTTTTGACTTTCCATTGGGATACACTGCAATTCAGCCCAAGAGTATTTTAAGAGTTTAAAGTGTGTGGGAAAACAAAACTCCCTTTGCTGCTTTCCAAGCTGCTGATCCGAATGGTAAAAACCAGCAGCCGGGACACCCCAGTGCGGACTGCAGTTCATAGCTAGCTTCTAGAAAGCTCTTCTCGACCAGCTCCTCAACGCTACCTTAGTCTGTATCTTATGAAGTCTTCAAGACAGAGCTGCTATTGTGTAGGTAGATAAACGGGAGGCTATTTCTCCATGCAGGGCTGTTTGAATGCATTTAACCGTGTTAAGGATGTCTTGGAATGTTTGCAACCACAGTTACTCCCAGTTCCTCAAAGTTCCTGTTGTGGGGATGATTTAATTTGAATTGTTTCCTTGTTATGAATTGTTTGGGTATTTTTGTATGGGTTACTTAGTTTCGAACACAGTCATTTCCATAAAGGGTCATGGATGAAATCCATAAGGCTCAATGAAAGATCCCAGGAAGTTCATGAGGGTCCACACTGAACCAAACCACGGTCCATCAGTGCATGGTGAAGTCCCTAACTCTTCCAGAATTCCTGTTCTTAATAGCGTGGACAATTTCCTTGTTCTCTCCTTTTGCTTACTTATTTTTGGTTTTAATTTTTACAGTACCTAAAGCTCAGTAATGGAGAGGTGTAAACTTAATTAAACTCCATGCACCAAGTCTGTTTAAGGATAGAAAGTGCTCTTAGCATTTTCAACCTTGCAAGAAATATCTACAAAGTAGAATTGTATTTTCTTTCATTTCTACCATTGTATTTGACACAAAGGATTAAATAGCATAGCAATATGGCTGTTTCTGTGATAAATTGAAATACAAAAGGTAATAACATACTAATTTTATGGTAAATTTGCACATTACATTGAGTCATGACAACAAACACATTTAAAAAATGATAATGTGTGGTTTCCTGCCATAGACACAAAACTTTGAGAGTAAAGTCTTACCAAACAAGTATACCGAAAGGGATTTTGTTCGACAGGAAAAGTCATATTGTGCCTATGGAATACTAAAATGTGAAAATGTATCATTATATATTATATATAATATATATCAATATATGTGCTAATAAAGACTGCTTGACTGTAAATGGGTGATGAATTGAGATATAAAGAAATCAAAGAAGTATTGGAGGGTTTTACAGTTTTTAACTTTTTATTTACTATTACTTGAAACACTGAATTTCCTATTGATGAGCTCGGGTCTGTGGTAGGTGTATTATATATCATTCATTTCATGCCCAGGTAAAATCATGTACTTCCAAAAATAGAAATAATATTCATTTAAAGAAAACTTCAGTAAAGATACATTTTAAAGAATATTCTTTGCATTTGTAAATTATTTCAGGCAAAGAAGAGGCATTAGCCAACTGATTTTCATCTAAAGTCCTGATTTTAATAAGCAAATATGGGATTTGGATGTCAAACCCTGTAGTTGATAAGCCAAACAGAGGTTTTTAGACCTCATGACTGAAATCACTTAAAATGTCTTGATGACTTACTTCTAATCCTGAAAAGACAGTGTTTTCCCCATTGAGTCCATGTTTGCTCTTAGCTCTTGTGGAATTTAAATAGCACACTAGATGGCCCCAATCAGTAAGCCACAGATCCTTAGTTAGCTAAGGCTTTCCTCATTTCTTTATTTAGATCTTTGGGATTGACTGGCCAAACACAACACTCCAGCCCTTTCCTCATTAACTTTGCTCTTCTGGTAGTTTCCAGGATAACTCGAGACGTATTTGATATAAGGAAGTTTTAGGTCATGGTAACAATTGTATTACAAGCAGTTTAATGCCCTCCTAAGTTCCTTATTAATATTAAATATTTGCTGTGATTGAATCCAACAGGATGTCATAATGTACTAAAGACTGGAAACATAACATCTACGGATTTTCAGATTTTTTTTTCTTCCTCAACAACCTAGTGAGCTAATGCATATATCACCAATCAAAAGTTATTCCAGTAGACGATTTCAGCAACATGGAAATAAATGTTTCAGATTAATATGGTCTCAAACGTCGGTACACACACCATCTGTCTGCATTAGTACTAAGCACCGTGTATCACGGTTAATTCTTTTTAATTAAGAGAAGATATGTGTAAGAGTTGTTTCTTCTCTGGCAAATTGCCTCATGTCTTTTCAGTTGTCTCTCAGCTTTGTAAAATAAAGTTCCAAACCATTTTTCCTTGCTTGTGCGCCCAGTTATAGACTTGTGTGTCACCTATGATCCCGAGAAAGTCACTTACTAAGCGGCAGAGTCATTGAGCTGGTATTCAGAAGCCCTTTCAAAGCAAGCTTGGATTCCTGGGTCTCCCCAAAGTCGCTTAATCACTTCTGCCAGCTGGGGTGTCATGTCGCCATCTTCCAGCGTATTTGCCATTGCGTGAAGTTGCTGCTTGTCTTCCTGGAGAAATATTTTGGTGGGAAGAAGACCAGCAAGTTATTTAGGCTCGGATATTTTAAACGGAACATTTAAAAGGCTTTTTATTATCTACTTTTCTTGTTAAAAATTTCATTGACCATTTCTTCCAAAAATTTATTAAGAGTAAAAAACTAGAATCCATTATAGTAACAGGCTGATATCTGTAAAAGCTGCATTTTGGGAAAATTATAACATACTATATGGAGAAGTCTGAATACTTTGGTATATATCATTGACATCTGAGTATTTTGTCAAAAAGAATAACAGTGCTTTGATGTAATCCATAGCGGCTTGGGTCAAATGTTAGAGTAAAAGAAAAATGAGATTGTTGTAAAATGAAAATAAAAGTGAGATTGTTTATCATGAGATATTTCTTTGTGATCCTTCTGGCACGCGATTACACACTTGGACTCAAAATAATGTGTTAATGCTATCCCTTCGGTGGTCTCAATTATGAGCTGTGCAGCAAATTTGCCACTGGGCAGAGGTGAAAAGTGGCTAAGAAACAAAATAGCTGAGTAAGTGTTGGGTCAGTGCCTGGTAGCACATGGCAAGAAATGAGAAAGGAGAGGGACTTGCTTCATAAATAAACTCCTTGACAAAACACATGGAATATATTATATACAAATTCCAAGATCGTTAGGCCATTATCAAAGAATGCAGAAGGCACACACACACACTTTAGTACTATTATTACCTGGGAGGGAAACATGAAATAAACATTGCCATGTAAAACATTGGAGACAGTCTTCACAAAGGACACAGCCCTGCAAAGGGAGTCAAGCAGTGCTGTGGTCCGCCTTGGATTTCAGCTGTTTGAAGTTAACCAACTGCTCCCTTTCAACCCATTTCCCACCTCACCTTTAAATTAAAGGATTATAGGAGGCCATTTCTTAAGAGTCATTGTAAAATTCTACGTGCTTAAGAAAAGTCAGGTTCAACAATAACAGACTAGCTATAAAAGAATAGGTTCAATAAATCATCAAATGATAAAGATGGGAAGGTATTGGAGTCTCTTTTGCATGTGTGAAAGAAGGAAAAGAAGAAACTTATCTGAATCCAAACTGTGGGGAAAGTTAGTAAAGAAAGTTTTTAGAACATAGACTCTAGGCTTTGCAAATGATTTGCCCCAAAATATTCTTAGCATATCTCCATTCTCTCTTTTTCTCTCTCATTACTCTCTGAGAAAACTGATGGGAAGAAGGGGATTTATCCTTTCCTATAAAATAAATAGTGTAGAAAGGAATATTTTCCTTTTCATCCTGATAACTTCCAATGTTCATTAAAATGGTCAACCCTAAATTGGATGTGTAGCAGTAGGCTGCTTAGCCCTGAAATAATCACACAGAAACTGTATTAATTAAATCACTGCTTGGCCCATAAGCTCTAGCTTTTTATTGGCTAACTCTTACATATTAATTTAACCCATTTGTATGAATCTGTGTATCACCACATAGCAGTAGTTTACCAACTAAAGTTTCTGCATTTGTCTCCAGCAGGGCTACATGGCATCTCCTGACTTCGCCCTTCTTCCTCCCAACATTCAGCTTGGTTTTCCCCACCTAGCTAAGTTCTGCCCTGCTATAGGTCCAAAGCAGTTTCTTCATTTATTAATGGCAATCACAGCACACAGAGGGAAATCCCACATGCCTGGGGAGGGACAGAGAGGAGGAAAGTACTTTGTGTCTTTCACTAATTTTACATATGGTTCTTCCTATGCCTACTGCTCTCGTACACAGATCCCACTGGGGGCTATTCAGTAGATGCCATCTGGAGGTGACCAGCCACTCTGGGAGGGGCCTTGTGGAAATAGAGAAAGTCGTTTAATGCTTTTGTTTTGTAGTGGGGTTACTTATTGGCTTTTAGACTATAATAAACTCATAATTTGTATATTAAGATAGTTTTTACATATTATCTATTTTTCAAGTAAGTAGGTTTTTAAAGCATCATAATGTATGAAATAGTTATTAATTAAATATAGGAAAATTACTTAGATGCGATATTATAAACCACAATACAGTTAGTTTCTTATGTTGCTGTACTTATTATTAGTTTTAAATCCTAAGAAAACAAACAATTAGTATTTAATAAAATTATAGTGAGCAGTCGGAAAGAGAGGTTTAATTGACAGAAAAATAAGAAAATAGAAGCTGGTGGTCGTTAAAATTTGTGAAATTATATTATGCTCCTTTGACATAGACCAGGGCAACAAACACAGTCCTGTGATTCTTTAGTTCACAGTCCACGTGGGCCTTATAATTATCACACGGCCTTTTAATTATTCCATACTTACTGCACTTCTAGGATTTACATAATCTATCCCAAGCGTCGTCATTGCTTTCACAATGGCTAAGATGGACTGCAGCGTGTTGCTGTAGATCACTGCCTTGAACTCCAAGCATTCTTGCTTACTGTACCCATTCTTATGGATGATCCTGCGATTACACAAGAAGAGCTTTTGTGAGTTGAACTGGTGTAGTACAAATGACCATCAATACTAAGCTGCTTGTATAAAAGCATAGTATGTACACCGTAAAAAGGAAGGATTTTCATCAAGTGTGTTTGCCAAGTCTGGGCAATGTAACATCTCTGAATGTTTATCCCTCACTGTCTTCTCATAAAAGGCCTTTAGGTCATAGGAAGAACACATGCTAAATATAAGGCAAATTAAATCTTGTTATAGATAAAATAATTTTTCAAGTATATAGATCATGAACGCTTTATTTAGAACCTAGATTTCTTTTTTTTCCCAAGAGGAAAATTCCCTGATTTTCAGGTCGAGTTGTGCACGGAGTCCAGAGCCCCGGGTGATGTTTTTACCGTGATTGAAGTCTCAGCAGAACACTCCTGATTTTCCTGTCTCTGAAGAACATTCCTGGGTAGTAGGAATGTCTGCTTTCTATTTACAGCTTTAACAAAGACAGTTTTTAAAAAATAGAGGTAATTTCTTTTGTTGGTTCCCTTGCTGTTCCTCAATGTGTATGCGTGCTTCTGGGTTCTCAGAGGTGAGTTAGCCGGGCAGTAGATTTGGCTGGGCTGTTCTCTTCCCTCCTCTCTTTCAATCACAGTCAGGCTTTGGCAGAGTTTAAGAATAACTCTTAAACTCTTAAAGATCAGCTTTAAGATCAGCTTAAAATAGATCTTCCCATTAGAGTTAAAATCTCTGTTGGTGCTAATTGCACTTCTTTGTTGTGTGGTAAATTCTTCCTGGCATTCTTTTCTTTATTTCATGTTATTTTAAAAGTGCTTTGTGTTCGGATTTGAGTGCCACTTCTCCCAAGATTTATTTTGTATCTACACACATGGAAGTTCCAGCTTAGGGGTTCAGCTTAGCACAAACACCTCCTCAACGCCTTTGAAGAGATAAACACCATAAGATGGAAGCATCAGGCATCGAGAGGAAGGAAGAGTATGCCTCTGTTATTTTAATCTATTATTCACATTTGATTGCCAATAAATGCACAGTTTTGCCTTCAACAGGGCCGTGCTTCTCTTGCTGCATTAACTTATGAAATCACTTGAATAACCAAAACCAACAAAAACAAACAAACAAAAAAAACCAGGGGGGGATGGACTATAAAAATGCAGAACGGTGTATTTGTAAATGGACCAGAGCAAGACTTTGATAAATCCCAATTCTCTGTCCAAAATTAAAACAGAGAAATGATTTTTAATTGTTAAATTAAAATGCCAATTGTGAGTGACTTTGGGACATTCAGTTCTGATGACTATGAGGGAAAATATGACAGAATCAGCTGCTTAGTTTTATTTCTTCTAGATAGAGTTGTCTAGGTATAAGTTGGTTCCTAGCTCTTTTCAATCCAGTAAGATTTTATTGGTCATTTTAGTTCCTCATTATGTACTGAAATAAATGACTGAATTGCCACTGACTCTCATCCCACTAGGTCCAGAGTGGAATTTCAGTTTATGTAGCATGTATCACACACTGTAACCCCCAGCCAAGATACAGAAAATTACATTTTAGATCCTCGAATGACCACTGAAATCACTCTTGATTCAGAGAGCATAACCATGAAACCCTTCCATCACAGTAAAATTTCTAAGGAGAAGCACCAAATTGTAGGGAAAAAATTACCATTTTAACAGATTTTGTGTTTTATATAAGTTCATGGCCATATCTGTGTAAATAGACATTAAAAAAACTGTGGTAAGTTCTATTACGGGTAATAGAAATAAAAAACAAAAAAGAGAAGAAGTAGAAATAACGAGCTGATTAGTTTAGCATAATGAGTTCTTTCTAAATGGTCAAAAGCAAGGAGGACTTTATAGATAAAAGAGGCAGTCCAGGTAAATAGAGGCACGCAGTTACCGAGCTTTGGGTATGGGTAGGACAGACATTGTCATACGTATGTGCAGTGACGTCATAGTAATGCAAGGGAATGAATAGCTTCAACAGTTTGCATCTTGATTGCCTGTACTTTCTCTTAAATTAGGAATCTTTATCTTTCATTTTACCATTTTAAATAGTTACAGGATTCATATTTTACATATATTTTCATACTTTGCATATTTAAATTATTTCTGTTATACATATTTCAAAATCTTCATGCAATTTCTCAGATACTATATAGCTAAAGAATACTCATGACTTTCCCAGTTTATTATATATAATATATAATATATATATATATATATTAAAGAGTAGCTTCATATTTTGTGCATGAATCTTTTGCCTGAATTATTTTGCATGTGCTTGGTGTTTTGAGAGACCAGAAGTAGGTACCAGAAACTTTGCAATTGTAGTTAAGCATGATTTTAAGTGGTCATAGGGTGCTGGAAACCTAGCCTTCATCCTATGTGAAGACAACCAGTGCACTTAACAGCCTAATAATCTCTTCAGTTTTAAATTTATGCTAGATGTAGAAAAAAATATATCTACTAGTTTTTTTGCAAAATGTACATCTAAAAATAATGGCAGTAAATATTCATTTTTGCATCAGATAATAATTTTTAGAAAAATACTATAGTTTTGCTTTCTGGGATAGTCTTACATCATACATCATAGTTCTGCCTGTTATGGTACTCACTACACAGCATAGACTGGCCAAACTTCCAGTCATCCCCCTGCATCAGCCTCCTAAATGTATTATGGCAGTCAGTTATATATCTATAATATTCATTGTTAATTTTGCTTATAGTTTTCTAATTTTTGTCTGACTTTATACATTATTTAATATTTAAAAGCTTTCTTTTTATATAGCAAAATCGCTATTCATTTAAAGCTATATTTAAGTAAATAAATGATAGATACTTAAGAAGAATAAGATAAGATAACTTCATGTGTGATTATGTCCTAAATAATAGGGTAGTAGAAAAGAATAATAATATAAAGGAACGAGAGATAACTCTGTTAAGATGGATCAATGATTGGTTATAAAACCATATTTTGGAGACAGGAAAAAAAGGACAAACATTTGCTGGCACCTATAGGTGAGTTTTCCAAACTGGAGCTTAAATAATAGTTGACAAGCAAATTACATGACACTATAACATTGAAGAAGAAAAAAAAAAGGGTTTCGGCTTAACCAGGGAACCTCATCACTGATATCTAGCTTAATTTTATTCATATTTCACTATATTTTTTATTTATAACAGTTGTGCCTAATACTTCCTCATTCAGAAATTTAGGCAGCTGTCCCATTATAAAGAATAAATAGAAAAAATAATGTAGTAACATATATCAGAATCTGTTGGAATGATATCAATGAAAAATATTTCGTATCCATATTGACAAATGTCAATGTTAGAATAGTTTCTCCCAAATTTCAAATGGATTCTTGATTGACGTATTTCAAATGTTTGCAGTTTATTTTATTGTTGTTCAAAAGCTAGTTCATTTGAGGGTTAATATAACTAATATATAGCTATTGGTATTAATATCTAAAAGACAAAATTCAAAAGAAAAGAAGAAATTGGTCTTTGTTAAACAATAGAAGTGATAATTGAACGCTCAAAAGATCAGGAAAAAAATGTTGCCACTGCCTGTAAATTCTGATGAGGTTGCTTGAATTCTGAAAGGGACTTACAAAGCATTTTTAAAAAGATTTTATCAGTCTGTATAATGATACTTGTATGCAGGTGTTCAGTGCTGACCAAAGCTATTGGATGTGTGCTCTTAAATGGGGAAGACCATTTCTTCATCTGTCAGCATTTCTTACTTGCCTGTTGTTCTCAGTGTAGGGTTGAAGCCTCCTGTGCTCTGCCTGTCCACGTTAGTGTGTGTGTTAGTATTGTCCTGTTTCAGCTCATGGTTAGCCAGTCAGGCGAATGAGACTTCATGAACAGATTGTACTTATCAATATGTAAGTACAATAAAAATTAAGGAGAAAAGAGACAACGAATATGGAAAAGACCAAGAGGGCAATGTGGGAAGACTTGTAGGCAGAAAAGGAGAAGAAAAAAATGATGTAATTCTATTATAATAAAAAACTAAAATAAATAATTAACACAGAATTGTTCAACGCATAGATAGACTTCAAACAGTAAACAACTGAAATAGTTCTGTACCTACTTCATTTGTTTAACAATCGTACTTTTTCCAGATTCACCTGCTCCTGAAATAAAATGAAGCAAATGTTATTGATGATACACTGAATTGGTACTAATACTAATATCTACTATTTTACTGTGTATAAATTTTTAGCACCTCTATTTGCATAACTTCTAAAGTAAATATTTTGTCGTCATAGAGAAAATTATATTTTACGTTTAAACGTGATTTGAGATGCTTATATCCAAGTATTTGCAGCACAAAGTTGTAACTCACAATTTCAGTCTCTGAGTAATTTTTAACGCCTAAGAGGATTCTGTGTCTCTGTTTGAATAAATGGTGAAAGAAGGAAACCACAGAGAACTTTATTGCCAGAACTGTTCAAGCAGACATCTATCCTGATTGAAACATGCTCTTCTCCTCCGCAGCCGGCAATACCTTTGTACGGAGCTGTAATTTCCTTCATCCTACTGGATGACGACTCTTGAGCTAACATGGGTGTGCCTCATGTCACAGGGTCTGGGTGCACAGAGGCAGGTATGAGGGGCCAGCGGTGGGACTGTAGCTGTTACAGCCACCCTTCTCTGTAACATGTATTGTAGTTTGTGATCCATAATGTAAAATATTTTGGCATCCACTTAACTCTTGAAGCGTCATATAGAAAGGCCCAAATGCACATGATCCTTAACGAGGAGAGTAAGAATTCTCAGTCAAAACTTAGTGGCTGTTTTAAGGTGTCAGCTGGGACCTTTTGAAGGTATTTCTTGAAACTCTCTTGAGGTTAAGGACCTTTTCTTTGTTTGTTTGTTTGTTGAGAAATGATAACTAAAAGTATAGCAATCACAGGTCATGATTTAGGTTCGTTTCTTCTTCTTTTTAAACATTTTATTATTATTATGATTTCACATACCAATCCCAGATTCATCTCCCTTCCCTTTTCCCCTTCCCCCACCTCAACTCCCATTCACGTGTCCAAGAGGGTAATGCCTTCCACGGGGAGTCAATAAAACCTGTCATTTGAGAAACGGCCAAAGCCCTCCTCCCTGTATCCATGCATGAAGCAAGGTATCCCTCCACTGAGAATGGGATCCAAAATACCAGGTCATGCCCTAGGAATAAATCCTGGTCTTACCGCCAGTGGCCCCACATTTTGTATCTGGGTATGATAGGCAGTTATTTTGATTCATCGAAGTATCATAGTCTCAACATAATAAGCAAAAGGTGGTTTGCATTTGATAACTCGAAATCTGAAAAACTATTGAAACCATACTTATGAATATGGATTAGAGCACACTGACACCAGGATGGTAGATTTCTTATCCTCCCTACGACTGTTTGACCTTGGCCTCTCCTCTCCTGCTTACCTTCTTCTCCACACTTACAATTTTTCATGTATCATTTTAAGTTGTCATCCTCATCCATCAGTGTAAGATAAATTTCACATGAAAGAAGTAATTCTTTGAACTTATATTTATAAAATAATCTACTCCTAACCAGGAAGCTATTTGCAATTAATAGCGGCCTGCAAAAGCAAATTGGATTTCTCCAAAGGTGTGTCCCTGAGTGTACCAACCTCACTCCAGGACAGGTTCCACGCCCAGCAGCAATGGGCAGCGGAAAGTGGACTCTTTTCTCTTAATTTTTTTTGATGTGGTTTATTTTGTTTTGATTTATGAAAAGGGGGAAGGTTGGAGAGATCTTCAAAAAGTTTGCATAGGGAGTTGGGAGGATTTGGGAGGACATGGGAGAAAAAATAACAACAAAACAATGTGATCAAAATGTATTGTATGAAATTACTTTAAAGAGAAAATAAATTTACAAAAATAGATTTTATTTTTTGTATGAGACCACCCTTTTTTTTCCAATGAATTATTTCTGTATGGTTTTAAATGTTTTCCTGAGCCTGGAGGAACAACCATGGGGGCATCTAAATTTAAGTCTACGATGCAAGTATTTATTGTCTCTGGCATATCTTAATATATCTGGTTTCTACAGTTGTCTGAGCAGCTGCCCATCACGTATCATACTGAAACATGAAGAGTGGTAAGACTGCACTAAATAAGGCTTCATCGACCTGTGGTTCCGAACGCTTCTTCCTCTTGCATAAACAGCCATGACTTTTCTCATTACTATGCTAGTGCGCTTTCTACCACAGGCCATGGAAGCTAAACACAGAGCCAGGGAATGCAGAAATCACGCCCAGGACCTTCATAGGCTTATTTCTGTTTTTCATTTACTTTTGCGGAGATGGTGTTAAATTAGGGCCTGTGGGTTCTAGGTCCGACCAAAAAGCTGTAATATAACCCTGCCTCTGCAACCACAAGCAGCAGAAGGGGATGCTGGGAACCAAGCGTCATCAGGCACAAGGATAGTCGCATGGGCTCTCCTCCACTACATCAAATACATAGGCTTGGTTTAGTTTTAGTGACTTGAAGATTTCTGGTTATGGGAATTTGGGAAGGAAATCAACAACTTTCACCTATCTCTTGCAGGTTTATTTAGCACTTATTTTGTTTAGTGAAGTGGAACTGCTGGGAAAAAAGGAACTGGAGAATTTTAAGACTGAGCAGAGAATGCTTGATTGCATGAATATCCAAATAATCGATTATTTTGATTTTAAATTTTTGAATATTCAAAAAATTAAATTAAAACAATTATGTATTGTCTATGATTTCTATAATAAAGTAAAAATTATTCGTGGAGTATTTTCGATTAGAAGAAATATCAACCTTTAGAAAACAAGAAAATGCTTTAAAATTTTCAAAACGGAGTACAGCTTGTCGGTAGAGTATGTGTCTAGTATATGTGGGGCCATGAGTTTCATCTCCATCACAGTACACACAGAGATAATATTCCAGAATTATATGATCACATGTGTCATGGATCATGAAGACATGTGATAGCACTTTGGAATCACTTTATTGGTCAGACGAAAATATCACAGGCATATGATCCTGTTTTATTTCCCTGTTATACTCAAAACAGTGTCACACATTTGGGGGACAAGGGTGACTTTTAGGTTATCTCAGAGAGTAAATGTACATTCACAGTGATAGCACGCTTTCCTTATCCACTATAACACACTAGGTTGATTCCAGAAGTTCCGGAAAAACACAAAGCTCCTTATGCGCTGCCGGTTGTGTAGTAGGGTGACATACCGGCTCACAGATGATGCGTATCCACCACTGCACTTTAAAACACTAGGGCCATTTATAATTCCAACTGTAACGTAAGTGTGATGCAAGCCATTATCATTCCCTATTGCCGATAGATTCATGAGAATAAAAATCTCCATGTTCAAGACAGGAGTCAATTTTCAGGAGTCAATATTGATTTTTAATATATTGGAACTACCGACGTGCAATCCGGCACTACTGAGGGCAGCGGTCAAAATCAGATGGCAACCATACTGAGAACACTAAGAGCTGGAAGTTCCCAAATTATTTCTGAGCCTTGAGGGGTTTTAAGTATTCAGCAATTCTCTGTAGCTTACCAGGTAACTAATGGTGTGCCTAAGATAGGCAGAAGCGTTAGTTACTGTAAAATAATAAAGGAGCAGATAAAGTAGCTGTTAAAAATGTTTAAAAACTATTTACTTTGCTCTGCATGGTGAGTTTGCTGGGCTAAGTGAAACTTCCGTGCAGTTCATTGCATTACTGGCATAATTCCTATTTTAAAAAATCGAGCTATTCAAAATCTTGTTCACTACTTAAAACTCTGTCTTAAAGCTGCTCAGAAAGCAACTGGCTGTTTCCATTCTCACACTAACTGAAGCACTTAGTTCACAATCAGCACCCCATTCTTGCAGGATTAGATCATGTTACAGGGCTAAATATACGCATGACAGCATGTTTGCATATGCCGAGCACACCCTAAAATAGCCCCTTCCTTCTAAGTGGCGGTCATAACTCACATTATTTTCTGGGCTAAAGAGTACCAGAGTAATTTTCACAAGATACACGCTTGTTTATTTGAAGATACTGTTTCATATAATAATTAAATTTATACCTAATATCCATTTAATATGCATAAATTATTATACATAATAAAATATTGTTATTCAGAGATATGAAAAAATTTAAATCTGCATAATATCCATAGCTGTAAGTGAATTCTGCTGAATACCCACAAGGCTTGATTGTTTATTTGGCTAAAGCAAGCAATACGAGATTAAATAACTTGATATGTATGATGATTTTTCTAGGCCATTAAAATAATATAATTGTACAGCAAAATGGAATGTAGAATGAGACAGCCTTGTAGATAATGTTGTTCTATGCATAAGAGGAATGAGAGCAGTAGAGATAAATGTCTCATACAAATTCTAGATCTACCTTCAAGTAAACTCAATTCTCCTGCTAATGCTGTCTTATTATATTGTTTCCAAGTATAAATTAGTAGTGAAATATTTAATATTTAAATGGTTTCAGGCTATTTGATTGCTCTAAGATAAACTAGAAGCATGCTTTCATTGTCATTGTTTGCAGTCAAGTGTCGGCTCCTCCTCATATCTCATCTTTTTAAGGAATAACTTACTCCACTCATGAGTAAAATTAAAGATGTCTTTCTCTTCTCCATCACAATCCACCATAGCCTCCAATAGAGGAAACACAAAAAGGAAAAAAGGAAAGGAAAGGAACTATTGCACATGTGCTTTTGGCATTAAGGAAATGTGTTTTGTTTCTTCAATTTAATTTATCTTTCTTATATTTTTCTGAGAGGGTAAGGCTTCCCCTGGGGAGTCAACAAAGTCTGGCATATCAAGTAGAGGCACGACCAAGGTCCTCTTCCCTGTATAAAGGTTGAGCAAGGCATCCCACCATAGGGAAATGGACTCCAAAAATCAGTTCATGAACCTGGGATAAGACCTGGTCCTACTGCCAGCTCCCCCTCCACCCCAGATGAAGCCACATAACCGTCCTCTAGATTCAGAGGGCTTAGTTCAGTCCCATGCAGTATTCCCAGCTGTCAGTCCAGAGTCTATGAGCTCCCACTAGCTCAGGACACCTGTCTCTGTGGCTTTCCCAATAATGATTCTGATCCCCTTTGCTCATATAATCCCTA